GGTCGATACGAAGAATCTAGAAAGTCAACGCACACGCTTCAAGTTTATCGCGTTTCAAAGTTTTAAGAAACTACGTTGGCTATGCGCTAAGGGTCGAAGTACCTAATAATCACATACTTACCCAAAACCGGTGCTAGAAGTATTGTTACCCAAAAAACAAGTACCTCATTATTGAGTATACTTGAACCCTCTGGATGGATCTGGTGCCATGTCCAAAACCCCCTAGAGTTGGGCGTCGTCGCGTGCGCTTCCAAAAAAATTGCATCTCAAAATTTAAGCTATGCTAGCTATGGATCGTGTGCGGTGGCAGTTTAGAAAGAATCCAGGATGACCCCAAGTACCCTGAACCTTGGGAGTTATGGGATGATAGTATAATTAGAAATTTCATGCAGGATTTTTAATATCAACAGTAGTAGCGACCATAATCCATTCCCCCTAACATTAAACTGTCCCCTAACATTAAACAAATCTTCCAGGGCCTGAAAAACTTGGAAGAGCGCCTACTTTCCAAACGGGCTACATGGTAATCATTTGTTTTTTGGGTGTGGCTCCGAGGTCACTAAGGAGCCACAAGGAGTCGGGGCGTTCTCGTCTTTTATCGTTTTACTTGCTTTTGTTTCAGTGGGTTTTCCACCAGCAACTCTTGTTTAGTTCGAAGTACAGAATTCGGCAAGTCAACATGAATTATAGTTCCTGTCTGTGATTAACTATGTAACTCATCCGCATGAATTTTCGAACTAGTTATCCGGAAGCATTGATTGATCTTTAACTGCATAATCATCGCGTATCGACGCATTAGTTGATACGCATAAACGCGCACCATCAAAGTGGTTATCTTGAATTAGCTGGCTAGTTGGAAACTATGTATTCATGACGTTGAATTACTCCATTGAGTTAATGAGGAATAAATATCAAGAAAATAGGACATGGGTTTGCATTATATTGGATCTTAAACGTGGGCCCCATCTATTTCGTTCAAAAACCATTCCCCCCTCCACACCACCCCAATGTTCTGTTCACTAGATCCTAAAGCCTAAGCCCTCAACCCGACCTTCAGGCCGAAAGACGTGTAGGAGGTTTTAATTTAGGGAAAGGGAGTAAGACTTACAGCTTCAGATAAATGATCCCAGTTAATCCCACTAATCGGCTCCTTACTATAAGGGTCCGGCCCGACCCTTCAAGTAGGTAACTACCCAATACCCTACACCCCAAACCCAACAAAATCCTTGTGGAAGGCGGCCAGGGTTTTCAGGATATGGTAGTTTCCAAAGAGTAGGAGCCCTCCAATATACCCGCAAAAATCCCCCTAAACCCTAAACCCTGAACCCCCAACCCTAAACCCGATTCCCTCAATGCAGAGAAGCCTGGGAGGTATCCTGGTCTTTAGCGCAGCAGGACAGCAACAACGCCTGGTGTACTTTGGCTCTTGTCTGGTACGGTGGATACTAAAATAAAGAGACGTTAATGGAATCCCTGAAGCAGGGAAACCCAATGACTTTGGAAACCCCAAAACAGGGAATCCAAGGAATATAGTAGGAATATAACAGGATTGTTTAGGGGTTTAGGGTTTAGGGGTTTAGGGTCAGGGTCGGTATCTTCCTATATTCCTACTATACTCTTGGGGTTTCCCCTTTGGGGTCCCCAGTTTACTCCCAGTATAATTAAGGTTTGGGGTGTAGGGTTTAGGGTTTAGGTGTAAAATTTCCTGCATGACCCTAAGTGCCTTATACTTTGGGACATGTGTTATCATCGTTTGCCAAGGTCATGCAGGATGTTTAGTATAAATAGTATTTTGGAGTTCCGTGAAAGAAAAAACCTATACACCCCGCCTCTCAGATTACGTACATCCCCACCGGCAATCTTGAAGATATAGCGCGACGGATTGGGATTTATAAAGTCTAGGATTCAGGGTTGAGGGTTCGTAATTAGTAGGGTTTGTAGGCTTAACTGGGCTCGAGCTTCAGGGTTTATAGCGTCACGGTGTGGAGGGGTTATAGGATTTTTCAAGGCTTAGGGTTTGGGGTTACGGTAAATGGTGGAGGCTGTACATTGGCTGGTGCCTCTAAGGGCCTCTAAACTAAAGACCTTTAACACCAAAAACCTGGAACAATCCTAAACCCTAAACCCTGCACCCTTAACACCCTAAAGCCCTACATGAGGATTTCCGGTAATTAGCTTATCATAGCGGGGGTTTAGGGTTTAGGGTCGACTTTTAAGCGTACAAGAGGCAGACCAGGTCTGTTTTAGGGTTCAGGGCTTAGGAGGGTCTTAGGAAACACCCAGATAATGCCTAAAGCTTCGCTCCCCAAAGCCCAATCAAAAATCCCTAAACCCCTAAACCCTAAGCCCGAAATCCGTAAATCCCTAAACCCTAAACCGAAACCCTCAATCCCTAAACCCTAAATCCCTAAGCTAAAGGCTTCAGAGCTCCCCTGTACAGAGCCCAGGTAACTACCTCATGTCTCGCTATGGCGCCACTGCTGCACTTGGGGGCGTTTAGGATCTGGGGTTCAAGCTTAAAGGGTTCCGTGGGTTTCTGAAAATGTGCCCCTGCAAAACTCTTTAGGGCTTAGGTTTTAGGGTTTTTTGGTCTTGGGGTTTAGGGTTTAAATTAGGGTCTTACGCTGGTTACGTATTGGAATCGCAAGAGTAGGCAGTTTTTCTCAAACCTTCCGTTGTAGGATGCATTGAAGGTGCAGGGTGCAGTGGTGGTTGAACATATTGAATGCAAAACCCTGTACCCTAAACCCTGAACCCTAAACCCTGAACAAAACCAACGTGGAAAGGCACTACAACCAGGAACATGGAGAGTGTGAGGCTTGTGGTCTGGCTTTAGGCTCTAGGGTTTGGGGCTTAGGGGTTGGGGTTTGGGATTTAGGATCTAGGGTTTAGGGTGTGATCCCACCATACGAATAGTAAACACACGCACAGACACAAACACACACCGCCAATGTTGAGAATTGACTAGTCTTAAACAAACCCCCCTCGCACCCCTGACGTGAAGTATTTCCCATGAAAGACCTTGTAAATAGTTTCGCATATGAGGAGGGGTAACATGAAACTTTCGGGTGGGGGTTTTGAATGCTAGTAACCCTAAACCCTAAACCCTAACTAGTATGAAAGTTTCCTAAGAATCCCTCCTCCACTTCCTACTTGTCGGAATTCGTGCAAGGTACCTACCAGTGCTCGTCTCAAGCTACACTCGGGGGAGTCCAGGTAGTCCCTAAACCCTAAACCCTAAACCCTGAAACCCTGAAACCCTCAGGTAGGCTGAAAGGACATCTTAGCTGTAAGTTGCCAAACTTGATCCCTGGACTTAGCCCCCCAAATCCTAAATCTTAGATGAGTCGTAGTTTATATGAGCTGTAGTCTAAACTCCTTAAAGGGGGTTATATAGGGGATTATATAGGGGACTACTATAGGGGTTATTAAGGGGGATACTAGGAGTTTAGACTATAGCTCATATGGGGGGACTATGGTACCCAATAATGGAGAATCAAATGGAAAAGAAAATGGAAAATGAAATGGAAGCTGGGATTATGTAGGGGTTATATTATATTATAGCTCTAGAATTTTATATGGTGGTTACTATGGTACCCAATATAGAGTAAGATTACATCCTCCTGTTGGGGTATGGTATTTTATATAAGGAATATAATCTTACTGGGTTTAGCCACCAAAAAACGCTACTCAGATGTAGACCTTCTAACAAACAGCAAGCCCATGTAAACCTGCACTCAAAGCCCCAAACCCTCGACCCTGAACCCTAAAACTTCAATCCTCGAGCCCAAGCCCCTGTGACCTTTAGGGTTTAGGGTTTAAGGGTTTAGGGTTTAGGGTCTAGGGTTTAGGCCTACGTGCACCCTACTTGAAGGTTCAGTGGACTTAAGCAGTCGGTAGGTAAAGGTTGCCCCCTAAACCGTAGCAAATCCTTAATCTCTCTCAGAGGCTTTGGCTATTCTGTGACTGGCGTTGCCGCCTCCCTGGCATTGCCCAGGCAAGGAAGCGAGTGGACCTCTTCGTTTGGGGTTTAGGGTTTAGGCTTTAGGGGGGTTGGGGATACCCTTTGCAGGGGACATGAGGGGACCCATTATGGGCGTGTGGGAAATACAGGGATATCCAGGGGGCATCGAAGGTTTAGGGCTGAGGGGGTAAGTGGGTTTAGTAGAAACCCTAAACCCTAAACCTGAAACCGCGTGGTCAAGGGGTTTAGGGGGTGTTTGGCACAGGAAGCCCTGACCCTTAGGAGAAAGTTTCAGAGTTTTTTTGGTGTCTTTTCACAGTGAGTGGGAAGTGAAAGCCCAGCTGTCTAGATATGGGGCACAAACATACATTCCCAAGCTTCTTTTACGGCAGGCGTTGATTTTAGCTGTTTGGTATGCTGCTTGGAACCAACACCACTGTGATCCTACTACATATCAAGCAGGCCAGGCTGAAAAGCAGGCTGGTACCCTCCAGCTCTAAATTCACCAATCAGAAATTGCCTTACCGGCTCCAGATTCGCATGTTTCCAGTCGAAAAGTGCCTTCTCAGAAGTCTTCTCCTGACAGAGCACGTTTTGAAACAGGGTTGCCCCAAAGCCACTCTCTACCCCAGGTGTGTTTTCTGAAGTTAGTGTGGTGAAAGCTTTCTAAGATCCTTCTCGTGTATAGGGCTTAAGGGTTCAAGGGCACCCATCACCGGTGGAGGATAACGGGTGGAGCTAGCCACGCCCATATGAT